AAGGCAACAAAGAGTGGGAATCACTGCTTTTAGTGAAGGGAATCAAGTGAAGCAAACTAGGCAGGAGACTGAATTTATTTCATTTAATGAAAATACTTACAGCTTGCAGTTGGTAGAGCTGTTGCCTTGCACAGTGGACTCAACTACACATTATTCAGGTGGATGCGAAAACATAAATCGGAACGTCGGAGTGAAGGAGCGACAGTCCAAAAACATGACTGTCAGGTTAATTGGTTTCTCTAAATTCTCCCTAGGTGTGTGTGCATGGTTGTTTGTCCTGTCTGCTTTGTGTTGCCCTGCGACAGACTGGCGACCTGTCCAGGGTGGGTGTACCCTGGATTTTTGCTGGAGATAGGCACCAACACCTCTCCCATCCCCACTCGGGGACAAGGGTGTAAAGAAAATGGATGGAAAATACTTACTTAAAATACTCACACCCAAAGAAAACGACTGCATCAATAACTGGAGTACGGTGCCTTGCAAGCGTATTCAAGCCTATAAGGATTTATGATTCAGATTGTGTCATGTGCCTGGTGATCCTTGCTGTATGTCTTCCCTCTTTTATTACTTACTTTCCCTTCCTAGCACTTTCAAATAAAAACCATTTGAGCCAAAAAAAAAAAAGCCTTTATAAAAAGAAATACAAATCTGGAATCTCCAAATATATTATTTTTTCTTTAACCTCACTTACTTTGATAATCCCAAATATAATCCAGTGCAACTAATATGATCAATCACCTGAGAAATAAACACCGTCCAAGTAGTATGATTTCATGTCAGTCATATTTTTTGTGTTGTATTTGTTGCTGCGTTTTCGCCAGAACTCTATTGAAAAATATGATTTTCAGTCTCAGTGGGTTTTTATGCATGTACAATAGAGATGAAATAAATGAATAAAATACAAAGTAGGGGTGGGTGATATGAACTTAAAGTTTTATCACAATATATTTTGAGGTACTATTGAAAACTAAAAGTGACAATAACTGTTTATGTTTATATATTTTTAAGTTGCTGTATGGCAGTGATTGTATGTCACAGCAGTCATAACCCCACAAACACAAATCCTGCTTGAAAAATATTCTAATTTCTAAAACACTCTCCCCTCACACCTGCAGCCCATTTCTAATCAGCCATCTGTTACTTGTTCAGTGATCACAGAACAGATGGCTTGATATATGTAACTCCTTCTCAGTTCCTCGTTGCTGGTTCTTCTCATCTAAACCTGTTACATCCTGTTATTTCCTCGTTTCTTCCTTGTGTCCCCTGCTGGCTTTTTCCTTGTATTTATGGTTTTTGTTCCGCTCTGGCTCCCATGTTTTTGTATGTTTTTTTTTTTTCATTGTTTCATTAAAATACAAAATTGACCTGCCACCTCTGCCTCTCTGCATTTGGGTCCACCATCAAACACACGTAACATGACAGAAATTGCACTAAGACGCAAGATAATATGTATTACTTAACAATGGTAAGTCAAGTCAAGTAAGATCTAAGCAACATACTCAATAAAGGTTCACATTCCAGTGTGACGAAAATGTGAAACAAATCCGAGGGATGTGAATACTTTTACAAGCCTGTACATGCTCTCTCAGGAGGAACATAATGTTCAATTTCCTTCCTCTGCTCCACAATCAACTCCTTCACTTTGTTGACATCCAATATGAAATGACTGCTGCCACCCTGCGCTGCACAGTGGTCTACCAGTTCTCCGTGTTTAGATTCCTGTCCACCACTCACAGACACCACAACTGCAGAGTCATCGGAGTGTTTCTGCTGATCGCATGACTTTGGGCTTCTCTGAAAGCCTGAGGTGTACAAAATGATGAAAAACTGAGAGTGAGGCCGGCCTGCCTGTGTTCCTCCACTGCTGCTTACAGCTCTAACACAGAGCACAACTGTTCAGCAAAGGACCAATCAATAGTTTTGTTGTTATGCTTATGATAAAGTGATAATTAAAAAAGTTCAAAACTAAACCCATTCATGTGAATGTGGATAAAAATGACATTAATGAGGAAGCATTGTGTATTTTCCAGTCAAATAGTTCCATCTATTTGACTGGTACAAGTACAAAATGCAGTATATCAAATCAGACCTAAAAACTTATAAAAGATTTGACTCTGTAACTTAACACCCTGAAATTGGGCCTCTGTAAGAAGCTCCTGCTCTTTCTGAAACTCTGCCTTCAGAAGGTCATCACAACATGGCTCCTCTATTAACCCTTTAACATTTTTATCAGCGATGCACTGAGAAGTCGCTCCTACAAAAAGCTCAGATGCTCAGTCCCACCAGCTGTTTGCTAATTGCTGCTGGCTAGTCTGAAGGAGCTGAGTGAGGGAGTCATGCAGGAGGGCTGGTGTGGGAGAGGGAAGCTTGTAAACTGAAGCTCAGAGGCGGAGATGTGTTTTTAAGGTGGAGCTAGGTCCACTCAGGCATTTAGCACAGCTGAATGGTTGCCAGGGGAAACTCAAAGATTTCTAAAACATGCATGAAAGAATCAAGGCAATACTCCTGGTGTGTTTTTGATGAGATAATATTATAACACGATGTAAAACTCTCTTATAATGTCCATGATGTAAAACTCAGTATTATGTAAAAAAATCTATTTTACATAATACTGCCCTTTAAAGAGAATATCAAGGATCTAAAAATTAAAAATGGATGGAACTTAGAGAGGGAAAGAAGAATTGAAGGAGAATAAAAAGACAGGAAGACAAATGAAACTGGCCTGCATTGGAAAACGGAAGATAAGAGTAAATATAAAACATAGAGAAGAAAAATGGATGTAAAATCTGCAAGAGGAGCAGCAAACTGTGAAACTAAAGGACTAGAAGTTGCAGGGGCTTTATAAAAAAAAAGAAAAAGAGGAAATGCTTCTCATTTCTCAAGGGGCTCATAGCTAAGATGGACAAAAACAGCAAGAAAGAGAAAAAGGTCCAAAACACAGAAAATATGTGCTATTTGATCTGCACAGGAAAGTGACAGAAACTTGGAGGCTCTTGTTGGGATCTGGCTGGACAACAGAATTCCTTCTTCATCGTTATTTTCTGTCTCTTATCGATTCCCCGCCCCGCTTCCCATTGTTTCCATGTTAGACTTTTTTCCTTCATCCACATCTTTCTGCTTCTCCCTCTTTTTGATAAGCTCTCCTGTTACCCACTAAACTTTTCCACTCACTTTCTCCAGCCCTCTTCATTCCAGGGGAGCAGCTCAGTGATTGGCATTGCAGTCTATGTCGACTGTCAGGTTCTGTTGGTAGATTTGGGCTTCAGTCTGTCTCAGCTTGGCTTATTTACACACAACAACAAAAATAACACAACTTAGATTTGCAGCAAAAACTCTAAAAAATAAGTTTTTAAGAAAATATGTTGACTCTGTGATGACATGGCATAATTTCAACACGAGCGGCTAAGTTTCGGTAAAGTTTATTTGCTAATTGCCTTTTAAAGCAGAATGAGATAAACCAATACAACTTCAAAAACTATTATTTTGTGATATCAGCAAAACCCACTACGACTCACAGGGGCGTGAAAAAGTTCTAGCCTCTTCCTTGTTCCTATTTTTTTTGCATGTTTGTCAAACAATGTTTCAGAAAATCAAACTAATTTAAATATCAAAGACGATACAAATAAACACAAAATGCAGTTTTTAAGTGAGGATTAAGGGAGAAAATAATTAAAATCTTACATGGCAATGTGTGAAAAAAAAGATTTCCCTCTAAAACTAATAACTGGTTGACTCTCCCATAGCAGCAACAACTGTGATGAAACTGTGTCACTTGCTTATTTTTCTTCAGTCGGTTGGAGGTGGACTCGCTGGCGTGTTTTGGATTGTTGTCCTGCTATAAAACCTAAGATGGTTTCGGCTTGAGGTTATGACCAGATGGCTGGATGTTGTCCTTCAGAATGTTTTTGACGACAGCAGAATTTGTGGTTCCATTAATCACAGCAAATCTTCCAGGAGAAATCCTTTAGTCTCCCATGGCAACCATTCAGCTGTGCTAAAAGCCTGGGTTGGACCAAGCTCCTTCTCGGAGCTGCAGTTTCTGAGCTTCCGCCTCGAAGAGAAGCCCTCCGTTGCCACTCCCCCTCTCAGCTCCTTCAGACTAGCCAGGAGCAATTAGCAAACACCTGGTGGAACTGAGCATCTGCCCAGCTCATTATAGGAGCTACTTCTCAGTGCAACACTGCTGAAAATGTTGTTAAAGGGTTAATAGAGGAACCATGTTGTGATGATTTCCTGAAGGCAGAGTTTCGGGAAGAGCAGGAGTTTCTTAAAGAGACAGAGACACAATTTCAAGGCGTTAAATTGGAAAATCAAAATTCGCTTAAGTCATATTTGATATATATAGAATTTTCATAATAACTGAAGAAAACATAGTTACTTGTTTGTGCTATGGAATGGCTCTATGTGCCTGGAACATAATACTGCCTGTTTAAGGGAAGACTTGAGAACAGTTCAGGTTAAGGTTGGGGTTTGGGGGTTAAGGGTGATGACACATTTTCACACCACTGTATGTTAAGTCATTATTCAAGATGTCTTCTATCAGCAGTCTTCTGTCAGACAACACACAGACTGCAGCTCAGCAGAAGACTGTTGGAGAAGGAACTTTTTACAATATATATGTTTAATAAAATGTTCTGATCTCTGACTGATAATACATCACAGGACGATAAATACATTTCTAGTACTACTGAATGAATGTATTATGGAGGTGATTCCCTATGAATGTAAACAGGTTTATGCCATAGTAATGAATAGATTGGTTGATATGAGACACAATAAATTATCATACAATATTATGTCATATAGTGCTAATATATGCTACAGCTCTGCTCAGAAGCCCAACACATGTTTTCCACCCTCAATGGTTTTATACTTCAGCATCAGACAGAAAGCATGAAGTGAAATTAAAACCTTTCTTCCATATCCTTCCATCACACAGATGAACATGTGAAACAACAAGTTGGATCAACCTGTAAACAGATATGCTGACTTTGTTGTATGTGAACAAGAAAGATAACGTTTATTCAATAATGACACAGATTCCTCAGACTTCACTGCTTCATTAGGAGCCAGAAAAATCATTAGCAAGTCTAGGATGATAAGAACTGAAATAAACGTCGAGGTTACAGTGAAGAGATTATTAAGGGAGATGGATTTTAGGGTTTTAGGTCTTAAACCGATTCATCACTGAGAACCAGACATTGTCCTTGATTTGTCATTCATCAGGAATCTCTACAGTTAAAATACTTACTGAAGGAGAGATGCTCTGTACGGCTAAATGTGGTTGGTTGATGCTGCTGTATAATTTAGCAGTCCACACAGAGGCTGGGAAAACAGTACAGCTAGAAGGTTGAAAGGCTCTGGGTCGTCGCTCAATGTTGTTCACCAAATTAGCTCTGGTTGAGCCGTTCACATTACAAAGTTCATTGGATCTCAGTGTCATCAAGTGAACCAGTCTGCTGTTTTTTAAAAAAATACAAAATTAAAGCTAACCATTATCAAGGATGCATCAGAAACGGATCCCAAAGCCAGAACTCCAAAGCTGGTTTCCTCCAGGTTTTAGATGCTTGTTTTAAATGAATTGGCCATCTGTAGGTTTTATTTTAAACTTTACAATATGATGATCAAAATGTGAATTCTCTTTTTCCAACTTCTGTGATATAAAAAACAAACCCCAAACAAAACACAAAAATATGAGTGAATCTCTCACTACAGGTTTTGCAAAGCTTCTTCACGCTTCGTCAAATTCTCTAAAAGACATAGCTGAGATTTTGTTACGCGACCTCCTTTAAGTTTTTAGCAGTCAGCGTCTTCCTTAGAGCAGGCAGCTGTCAGAAAATCTTTCATTTTGTTTCTGAGACAATCCAGCTAACAGCTGAACAGAGGACAGCTCTGCTGCCTTATTTCTCCTGCAATCTCAAATGTTTCATAGTAGTTTGTGTGAATCCTTTTAAATACGCCAGTAATCATAAAATAGAAAGTAGAAGTATATTGCCAAAAAAATAAATTATAAAACACAGAAAAGTTCAGATTTCTTTTTGCACTACTTCCAGTTGTGCTTTTCTTTTTCAAAGCGTCAGTTTAGTTGTTTTAACCTGTCCATTTCTTCCACCTCCACTGCAAGCCTTTTTGCATCCCTTTTCTCCAGCGCCTCGGTTCTGACGATGGTCTGATCTGCGTCCTGTGAGTCGATGTGCTGCTCTGCTTTCTGCTGACTTTGTTTCTGTTCTCCCTGAAGCTGCTGATCTGTCTGAAGCTCCTAGATCGGAACCACACCGCAAAACGTGAGCAGATATAAACGAGCCGTGTGTTTTGTTAACATGCATTTGAAAAACACAAGCGATTATCAACACTTTGCAAACTCTTTAAAGAACAGAAATGACCTAAATGTGTAGAGGAGTGTTACAGTACAGTGCAGACTGCAGAGGAACACACACATCAGATCCACGTTATTTTCTATTTGCTGGTTCTGTTTGTTTGATGCTGTTCTTTGGGCTTCAGGCTTTCAGTCATAGGTTAATATTAAATTTGATTTATGACTACGTTTGCTATCAGCTCTGGTCAGCTTTCACCATTTTCATGTTTCAACTATTGAATTGCATATAGATTTGAGAAATACACAGATATTTCTCAGTATTTTCTTCTAATGCAATGTACAAAACTCCCTGGGCAGAACATTTATTTATAAGTTACACGATGGATCAATTTATGTATATTAAAGTACTCTAGTGTAGTTCTGACTTCATCACACTTTATCACACTTAAACCAACATACTGTTGGTTTAAAAACATCATTTTCTCTGAATTATGGCTTTGTAAGGATTTGTTGCATTTTTTTCCCTTCACTTTCTTCTGAATTTTGCAACAGATCTATTTATATACTTTTTGGTAAAACTACTGTTTATTTTTTTGTTTCCAACCAAACAAATGCTGTGGAGCAGAGGGAAGTATAAACAGTACTTTGTCAGAGGTTTGTTGGCTTAAGATTTCCATTTTGCTCTCTGCTCTAATCATTCATCATCAGTGTTTCAATAGAGAAGCAGGACCAAAGGAAAAGCTGACAAAACAAGGAGCTTTATGCATTTTACTCGTTAAATAAATGGTGTCACCAGTTGTGTTTTAGTTGTTCCAACATAGATACTGCAGTTCAATTTGTATTTACACCAAATCATACACAGCCACTAATTCATGTATCTCTTCTGTACCCAGGTGCAGAGTGAATTTTGGTTTTCATTATTTTTTAAGCACATGAACAAAGTATCAAAAGTTAGAGGAGGTGAAGCTTCTGAATTGAGAATATTCCCCTCAAACATCTAGTAGACCTTTCATATCATATCATCAGCAAATCTACAGTCTATTATTCACTCCACTGTAACAATGTTTTCATTGATTCAAGTTTTTTTTGACAGTTTTATATCAAACATTTGTTTTGATTTCAGGCCATTTTGCACATTTTAATGACATTACCACTGTCTTTATTATGGGACCAGTGATCACCTCATTCATAATGATAAGTTGTCAGAAAGACTTGACCTGCATGACCTACAGAGATCCTGCAGGGTGAAGGATGCTCTTCTGTAGCTCTCAAAAAGTATAGACAAATTTGAAATTCCGACATTAAACTAAGAGGTTTTCTGTAATATTATTTTAATGAAACCACTTAAAAATTGTCCCAGTAACATTTGAGTTATTGCTTTGATATTTCAAAGTTGAGTTTTTCTCATTTCTCTGCTGTAGTACAATATTTTTATTGGTATCCAACAATAAAAACAGATGGATCCAGTTATTAAAATGTCCTTTCATTTAAAAAAAAATCCCTTTGCGTTCTAAGTGAATCACTTCCTAACTTGCAGAAACAACACGACACAAACAGAGATAAATGAAGCAAGGGAAGTAAATCTGAGAGGAAATTATTACTTTCTGCAGATTGAACTCTGGTTAACTCAGACACACACTGATTATCACATTTTCTTTTCCACCGTTTTTCACGTAGCTTAGCATGAAAACCACATCTTCAGTCATGGTAATAAGTGAGACGCTCACATAACTCCAGAAACGAGCCGTCGGTCCGCTCTGGTTTTGTATGGAGCGAGAGTTCAGGCCAGTTGTTCCTCTTGTTTTCTCTGCGCCGTGTCCCTCTTTCTTCTTCTGGTGTGGTAGTCTGTCATTTCCTCCGCCTGGTTCCTCGAGGAGTCAGACTGTCTGCGCCTTAAATAGTCTTGACCTCAGCGCAGACTCTGAGGCTACCTCCGTCTTTAACTGCACTCATGCTTCTCCGTTTACATTAGAGTGTGGTTTTTTGAAGGTGGGTGATTTTCATTTCAGGCACGCTGCTTGTAGCCTCACATGCTGCAGCGGGATTTTTTTTTTATGTTTCTCTAAAGCTTTATTTGTAATCTGAAATGGTCTCCATGGAAGCGGCGGCCCACATGATCGCAGTGCTCCCTTTGAACTCAATTATGATGTCAGGAATAGCCGAGGTTTGTGTACAACAATCAATACAGTTTATAATTTGACTCTTCCATACTGGGGAATATTCCATATGAAATACTAATGTAACTGGAAAAAATGAGGAAAACAATCAGGCTGAAATTGAAACCCGTTTCCAATAAGCAGTGGTCTTTGAATGCACTTATGTGATCAGAATGTATAAATGATTATCATTACATAATAACCAAATTTGAGACTCTTAACAGGGTGATAGAGCATCATGCCATGTTAAAATTATTGCACAAAGTGACTCAAAGTGGTGTCAAATGTTTGTGCAGGAAAAATGTTCATTTGTGGTGCTGCTACCATTGTAAATGTGGTGATCTGTGTTTTCTGTGTATTTATTTTGAGGTTTTTCTGTGTTCATTAGTCTGTTCCCCTGTGAGTCTCTGTCTTCCCTGTTTGTTCCCAGCTGTGTCTCGTTTCTTTGATTACCCTCCCAGTGTATTTAGTCCCACCTGTTGTATTTGTCTCTTGTCAGATCCTCGTCATGTAACCAGCCAGTTTCCCTGTGCCGTCGTGTGTTCATTGTGCTCCGTGGATATTTATCATTAAATCATCATCATGTTCATCCTGGGTCTGCGTGCGTCTTCCCTCACCTCACCTAACCTCCAATCATGACAGTAAAGATATTAAGAAATGTTTCCAAAGGTCATGACCTCTCTCTACCTTCTTCAGGTCAGATAAAATTGGTATCAGTCAACTCGACTATGTTTGTGCAGCAAAAATCCTTGTGCTGCTTTGGCTTTGAAGGTTTAAGTTTAAAGGTCAAAAGATCAACCATGCCCCAGGTATCTCCCCGCTGCCCCCACACAATATTACTAAATCAAAATGACCTTTAAACTTTCATTAATATCTTCAAAGCCAAAGCAGTTATATTTACTCCGATAAACTTGATTACTTGTAACAAATTAGTTAAATTTTTTAACCTGTTTTCTTTTAGTGTATCAAAACTATTGCTTATTTTTTACACATTTCTAGGTGTTCTGGCTCTAAATTACGACGCTATTTGTAATTTAATGCTCATTATAAAATACTCATAAGGTAAAGAAGTTCACGTTACACATGACCAAGTGCTGATTTGCATCCCGTCTTATCCTGTCCTGCCACATCAAGCGACGTCTTCACCAGAATGGAGCCATTAAATCATAATGAAAATCTTGAATTTACATACACTGTCAGGCAGCTGTATCTTTCACACTACATTAGTGCTTAAATGTTGGAACCAGCGAGACAGAGCTCTCAGGCTTTCCATCCTTTCAAGATGTTCCAGGACTAAAGTTATATTCTAATTATTAGAAATGCAAAGTGAGGCGCGGCGCCGTGGCATCTCCACGTGATGAAGCTCGACCGAATGTAATAAAAGTGTTTACTTCATGAATTATGAATGCTGCAGACTGGTCATAATCTTTGCTAAAAACATATTCTGTTAGGCATCCTCCAGTGGGGCGAATCAGAAGTTAAGCACACGAGCTACAACTTCTGCCGGAGCTTATCACCACCGGCAGGGATGGCTGTAAATTTACATGCAAGATGCAGTGTTTACTTCAGCTGCTCCCAATTGATAAAGCAAAGGGTGGAGGCAGTGGGAAAAAAGTAAAAAGCTTAGAGAGCAACGACATGCAGAAAAAAAAAAAAAAAACAGAAATAAAAGTTGCAGTTCATGATCACAAACGATAGAGAGCAAAACTCCAGACCCTTAGGCTAAGAGGGGCTCACTGATACACAATGATGAGTCCTGCTGAAATATTTGGATGCCAGAAACAACGGACGTAACTTTAAGCTATGGTGAGCCTCCAAGTTGTTTGAAACAAAAGAGGTCGGTCAGGTGCAGGGGTCATAAATATGAGAGCAAAATTATCTCCAAAGAAATGTTTTTTTTTTATTATTATTTTCTGAAGAAAACACAAGTACAACAAACCAAAACCCGAACAGGAAAGCATGTTTTTTAAATTGTTTGTGAATAGAATAGGGTGTGTGTTATTTATTTATTTTAACCAAAAATAAAAGTGAAAACTTTTCGAATTTGAACTATTTCTGCACAGAATTTTTTATTCAGTTCTTATGTCAATATTTTAAACCTTTAAATATATTGTGTATAATAGTAACAGTTAGCATACATGTATGAAAATGTACTTAAGTACAACAACAAAGTACTTCCCTACATCCCACCACTGATCTGCTAGACTTCATCTTCCACCTTCAGATTTTTCAGATGGCTTCTTGTTTCACGTGAAAAGAACGACAGCGACACTTTGCAGACGTGGCCGCGTTCGACGGGGCTGACAGCAGAGACCTCAAAAGTAATTTCACATTCAGTCGTGACGCTTAATTACATTTCCAAGGTGCTGCTGACTACCTGGGGAGGCATTTTTACAGCAGAACCTGGAAGGGGAGGTGACTTTGTGTCCCCTGAGCGCAGACTGTGCTCTGAAACGGAACACGAGTCCTGAAAGGTGGCATTAGCGGCTCACTGAGATGAAATGGTGTCAGCCTTTGTCTTACCACATGAATGGATTTAATTTGTGTGATCTCCATGTCCTCAGAGCAGTGGAGCAATCAAAGGTAATGTTGATGAGGCTCAAGGGCACCCGGCAGTGCGTTTTTACAGCCCAAGTAAGGTACGATGAGAATGAACAAGCATTTTGTTAAAAAGATAAATCGTACCTTAAGGGTGAAAAAGTAAACCCAACAAGATTAACTGATAACCTGTAAAGACCAATACAACACATGATTCTCCCCCCAGTCTGCTAAATAGCTGTTTGTATGTTTGTTGCTGTCAATAGATTTTCATTTGTATAATACCTCAGTGTCATTAGCTATGTATCTATTATTGACTATAAAATTGCGCAATTTGACAATTCAAAAATACATTTGCTTGATGAATACACACCAATTATGCAAAAAAAAAAAATGTTTTCTGATAAACCATTTCTACGTTAGGATGAAGTGTTTTTTTTTTTTTTTTGGCCATATCGAAACTAATTTATTTAAACAAAAACTGCATCACACGAGTCACATGATCAACAACTGGATGTTGCTACTGGCTGAAACAACACAGAAGATGACAGGAAGTAGCAGGAGGATGATGGCGCTTTATGACTGATTGCATGAACAAACTTATTCACATGTGATTTTAGTTGCGTTTCTTAAGTAGAAACACCGCAATTGCAAAATTGTTTTTCCAACATTGACAAAGTTTTGTGCACATTTGCAATGCAAACGCTGACCTGTGATAACTGAGATCCCCCTCTTCTTTAACTGATTATTTGCAGTAAAGTTTTACAATAACAGGATAAATTCTAAGTTTCACAATCATTGTGTAATTTTGGGCTTTGTTAGCTCAGGATGTTTATTGCACAAGAAGAAAAGGTACATTAAGGACAAACAATCCAGATATTATTTCTACCTATTTTATTGAACAGAATATTTTTTTTTTCTTTGTCAATTCCAGGACATTCTGACAATTCGCCACAGGTACTTTAGTGTCCTTCCTCCGTCCAAAGGCATACGCTTCACTGTGAGCGACTCTAAGTGGACTCAACAGGGTTGTGTGTCTCCTTGTGATAGGCCTGTGGCTTGAAGTTCGTGACCCCTGCTCCTCATTCAAAATAAGAAGGGACAGATTCTAGCCCTCTGCAACACTCTGTAGAAATGGAGGACAAATGAAAAGCATAACTAGAAAGAGTGACCAGTTTTTCTTTTATTGTTTCTGCTCTCAACAACCTCTGAAATATAGCAGTGTAAGAAAAGGGGTTGACTTTCAAAGTATAGATAACAAAATGATGAAAACTGAAATTAAGAAACCAATTTCCTTAACTGAAATAAATAAAAATGCTAAATCATGGGGAAAATCGACAATTTTACCCTCTGAAATTATAGATATAATATCCTTCCTTTTTGCATTTTTGAATCTATTTACACACAAGCAATTTATGTCAGCTGTCTGTAAATTAAGCCACTCCATTCTCCTCCGTAGCAAAAGTTGGGAGAAAACTTCAGTCATTTGTCCAACAATAATTGAATACATTTTTCAAAAATGGTGTCTTCTGTTAAGCATTGTTCACCCAATCGACGTTGACTTAATCACTGTACAACACTATGACCTTTTTGAGTTCTACACCTAAAAATCAACCAAAGTATGAGCAAATTAAAATTGTTATAACTAATAAAAACTAGCAAAACTAGCAAACTAAAGACTAATTAAAACTAACTGAATTAGACAAACAAAAGTCACAACAAAAGAAAACTAAACTATACTGAAAAACCCGAAACTATTACAAGCCTGCTGACTTTCACCTATCAGAGAGGCAAAGCTGCCAGACTCACAGGTCTCTTCAAGGTTGCCTTTGGTTAGAGCAAAGAAGGAGCAGAAAACAACAACAGAACAACACTGGATTTTATTTGACCCTTTCTGTATCAAATCAAAGCTTCCCTTAAACTCAGCAGATTTCCCACATTCTGTAAAAACTCCTCTGGAAAAACAAGTAAGAAATTATACACTGGATGTGTTTCTGAACTGAAAGTGCCGATAAGAAGAGAATGGAGCTCCGGCTTAAAGAAAAATGAGTTCATTTGTTAAATGGAATCAAATTAAGTTTGTCAAATGTAATTTATTTACATTTTGTTTAACATGACAACTTAATAAACTTTACTTGGATAAACTTAATTTGATTACTTATACCAAATTAACTGTACCAATAAACAGCATTATTTTTTAGCAACAGAAGGTAACATAGTTACTTGATTGTACTACAAAATGGCTCTATGTGCCTAGTAAATATACAGTACTGCCCCTTTAAATAAAGACTCAGTAACCTCTCACTGATCTGTCCTCTGTCCAGTTTGTGGGTTGAAATGCAAGCTTCTCCTTCTAATATTTTATTTTCTCCCTGCCTACAGCCAGAGGAAGATCACTCCTGTCTGTCGCCCCTCCTCCT